CACCACCGCCGCCTTCTTCCAGAATTGGGCCATGTACGCCCCCAGTTTGTTGAAGGATTGCACATCCTTATCAATGATCGCAGTCCTCAACGGTCCGAGGAACGGGTCTTCTCCTGTCAGCTGTCCACATCGAACAATCCTGGCAATCCGACCACTTTCTTTTTATCCTGAGTGAACAGCGGTTTGTGGTTATTGATGGCATTAACCCCATACTGAGTATCTCCCCCTGTCTGGCCTGTCTCTTTTGCCTCTGCCTCCGGCACTTGTCGAGGAACTGAGTAAGGGCCTTTTGTGTAGTCTGTCCTCGAGTAACCACAAGACGTTCTCGTGAATGTCTCAATCTGGCAAGGTTTCGGGTACGTATCTGATCAATACGGCTCGGGCGAGCCATAGGGCGAAATGTAGAGAGTCCGGGTCTTTGTTGACTTGAGGTACGAAAATTGGGGGAAATAGTAGAAAAATTTTCAACTAAATTGAGGAGATTTGTTGGTTCGATCGTGTTATTTGCGAAGTCAATAGTATTAGTAGAAGTATAAGAGTTATTTAGAGTAGAGTTGATAGTAGTGTTTTGAGCAAGATTAATTGAAGTATCCATATCGTGACTGAATTCTGAGATGTAAGGTCGGAGACAATGAGTTTGATCAAAAACTTTCGGTTTAGCGTATCTCATTTGCATACTGAGCTGTGATTGGTCGAGACTACCAGAGCATGAAAAGTCGACCTCTCGCGACGATGATATATACTCACAATTTTGCATACTAGCATATGATTGGCTGGTTGACTGAGAGCATGAATTAACGCCCTCTATCGGGGAGGATCTATGGCGATAAATATGCATATCCTTTTAGGATTGTTTAACAGGTTGAGTATTATTCGCGACGCCCTATTGAGACGACGGACTAAACTGTTTGCCAAAATGCGATTGGCTAGATGAATCAACTGTTGATTGGTCCGCCCTTTCAGTTAAGAGGTAGCTAATGTTGCCTCCAGTTTTACCAAACGATCTGATTGGTTGAAATTGATTACAATAAGAACTTTGCCCCACCGGCACTATTTGAGGTCTGGATTTGAGTACTAATCGAACTTAAAGCATTGTGAAAAGCTTGAATAGATTTAATGACAAATAATTTATCATGCGATGACGGTAAAGGTGCTTCAAAAGTCGGGTATCTGGACATATAGTCTACAATACCTAGGGAGGAACCGGGTATATGTTCGATTTGATAATTGAACGGAATAAGACGGTCCGCCCAACGAATGAGTCGTGACTGATAAGATTTCTTGCCATACGTTTCGTTGAGGGCGGAAATAATGGCCTTATGATCGGTTAGAATAACAAAGCGCTGACCAAGTAAGTATGTACGAAAACGTTCGCACGCCCATACAATGGCCAGAAGCTCTAACTCATTGGTACTATAATTGATTTCCGCGGAGTTTAGAAATCTAGAGGCAAACGCAATCGGGGCCCAAACAGTTGGTTCCACTTCTTGTTCCAAACAAGCCCCCAGCCCGCTTTGACTTGCATCATATTTAACTCGCGAAGCTTTCGAAGCATCATAGTGGAACAAATTAGGGATGTTTGCGATGAGGTTTAAAATTTTCTGAAACGCAATGTCTTGTTCTTCCCCCCACAAAAATGATTTCTTATTCTCCGCTTTTAACGAAGCTCTGAATGCAACTGTATATTTGTGCAAATCCGGAATGAAACGTTGAAGGTGATTGAGGGTCCCCATAAACAATTTTAACTGCTTAAGGGTTTTTGGTGGCAACAGGGATTTGATGGCCTCTATTTTCGAGAATTTCGGAGCGTAACGGTTTTCATCGATTGCGTACCCTAACCAGACTAACTTATTAACTGAGAACTCACATTGACTAAGTTTCAACGCCCATCCTTCTTCATTCAATCGATTCATGACTCTTTCGACCAGTACATTATGATCCTCAACTCTTCCTTTAGTGACAACCAGTATATCATCAAGGTAACATATGACACCTTCCAATCCTTGTAAAGTACGGTCCATCGTTTTCCGGAATTCCGTAGGCATATCCCTCAGTCCGTAGAAACCAGTCTTGAATCGATAGGTGCCTGTTGCTTCTCCACACAAAATACTAAAGTTACAATGACTACTGGTTAGCTCCGATAAAGGTAATTGACTAAAAGCGTATTTAAGGTCATTAGAAGTAAACCACACTTCCCCAGGTGCGTCTCTAGTTATGATTTGAGCCGCGGAGTCAATCAATTTATGCATATTAACATTTGATATTTATTTTGCCAGATTTGGGCGTTCATAGGTTTAGCATTGAGCGCGAGTTTTGTAGACCCATCCTTCTTTGCTGTTAGCACTATGGGCGCGATGAAATGATCAGTGGTACACTTTTCTAATTTTTCAATGTGCTTGTCTTTGATTAACTTTTTAATCTCAGCCGTGACTCGATGTTGTAAATGTATAGGGACTTTTCGGCCTTTAGTTTGTCTAGGCACCAAAGGGTCTTTAAAATTCGTGAATACTTTATGATTTTTCGACCTCCCCAGCCTGCTGAACACATTAGGGTACCTTTTGACAAAATGATCCCTCCAGAACTGTGAGTTCGGATCCAATTCCTGCTCTTCTTCCGCCAAGCTAACTTCTGCCGGTCTGCGTTGCACCGTCTCAATTCCCAATTTCTCATGAAGGTTCAATCCGAGTAAATTCCGAGTACGATTTTCGGAAACCAAGAAACACGCATTTTCGAACCCTTCGACGTAATAGGTATTTCTAGTGATCCGAACAGTTTAATTGGTTTCTTGTTATAATCAACATAAGTAATGTCTAATGGGTGTCTCGCGACGTCGTTAAATTTAACGTTGGGAATCCGCTTCATGAGTATTTCCGCCGTTTTCTTGTTTAAGAAAGACACGGGACTGCCAGTGTCGACCGTAGCATAGAAAAAGGAGTTACCAGAACGTAACTGATTGCTGAGGCTCCTTGGTTGTCCTCCCGCTGCCTTCAGAAGTTCCACATTGTTAATCTGCACAACGTCTATCGCCATGACTCCATATTCCGGCTCGCTGACACCATTCACGTCATTTAAATTGCACTCTTGATCTGAAGACATCTCTTCATTTTGTACCATGTTAACGCGTCGTTTTGTTGTGTTACACACCTTAGCAAAATGACCCTTCTTTTTGCAAGCATTACAAGTAGCTTCTCTGGCCGGACACGACCGGCGATGTTCAAGAGAAAACGGGTTACCGCAAAAATAACATGGTTTATTTTGATTTTGTTGTTGGTTAGGACGGTTTACACCTCCTCCCCGGCTGCTATTTCCTTGATTCTTGAACTGTTGTACTGATGAAGTTGGTTCCTGCTTGACTCGAATAGTGTTGGTGGTATTGGAAGTAGCGTTGTTATGCGGGAGAAATTTCTGAAATTGTTCTGATGTTTTAGCCCCTTTCTCATTCTCCAATACCAGTTGTAGAGTATCATCAAGCATAGCTTTTACTCTGATTAATTGCCTCTGAACCTCCACATTGCGAATGCGGCCAATAAACAAGTCTTTCAACGTCGCTCTTTCCTGATCGAGCGGCCAATTACACAGCGCAGTTTGAGCGCTAAGTCGATCATAAAATGATGAGAATGAGTCATTCTCCTGCATGAAAATTGTATAATACAACTTAATCCTTTCGACTGTGTAGCCCCGCTCTGCCTTGAAAAGATCTTCGCAGCACTTGTGAAAATCAATGAAAGAGCTAGTATTGAGATCCAGGTGAGGGTAAGAATCCAAAAATTGTTTTTTTCTCATTTCCCAGTGCGAAGAAAAGTCGCGATTTCAAACCGGCCTCTGCCTCATGGTAACACCAGTTATGTCCAATGCGAGGTCCTTTCCTCCTCCTCTCTTGATTGTACTCATCGATTCTTCTATTAGCTGCTGCAACTCGGAGGTTCCTATTGGTTACATCTACCGCACTTTCATCAGTCCCCGGTGCTTCAGGCTTCGGATAAGGTTCATCCACTAACTCTGCTGGTGCAACTAGTACCTCCCCCGGAGAAATATTGTCTTTGAGACTAACGGCCAAGAAAAACTGTCCCACCCAAGTCTCCCAAATGAAAGGTGGGTTAACCGATGTTTTCGCCCAAAAGGGTGGTATTCCGAGTAAGTCAGTCCTGTCTTCATTCACAGGAACTGCTGGCTGCGCCATGAGATTTCCTTCAGTTGGAGTAGGGAAAACAGTATTGTAAAAATCGAATTTTGAGTTAAATATGATATATAAATAGGTAGATAAGAATAATGTATATATGAATAACGATTCCAGATTGAATATATTGTTTTGATAACACGAATGTTTTATCGACTAGATTTCACACATAAGGCTTTCGCAAGTGACTGCTTCAGGTTCTCAAGTGACAAACGATTTGGCTGGTGAGATTTGTCCTTGAATCAATTTACTGCACTATAAGTAGATAATTAAGACATAGTTGAATAAGAATGAGTAAATAGAATAGAATGAGGTACCAAAGGTCGCCTCATGACAACCTTGTAACAATTACCCCCTTTTTTGCAAAGGGGGGCATCGTTAACCAGACCCATGACTTTTTGTATTTATAACGACTTAAGCTCGACGGACCGAAAACTTTGTTTGGTTGTCTCAGGCTAGTCGAAAACCGCGCATTGTGTTCATGTGTTCTTCAGCTCTGTCGTCATATATTTTACATAAGAATTTAAAAAGTTTAAAACAAGTCCAGCTTAATTTGATAACTCAGTTAAAATTCTTTTCTGCAGAAAGGTATTTGGTCGAAAAAATTACTTTTAAGAGTAGATTTAATTGATTGATTTTTAGTCAAATGCGCCTATTTGTAGTTTAATTTTTCGATTTTTAAATTACTTGCGTATAGTTATTCTGTTTAAACCCCCGTTAGTCTGATTTGCATTTAATTTCTTAATCTTTCAAAACCAATTTCAAAATTTCAAAAACATCTTTTTGTGTTAACCAATCTTTCATGACTTTGTGTTACAAATTATAGAATTTACTTGAATTATAGTTAAGCGTAAAGCTAATTAAAAGAAACAATTTTGCTCTTTGTAACGATCTAGAGGGTGTGGAATAATTATCCGATGAATCATGGAATCACGAAGTCAAACGATGACGAGTCCTCGGAGTCAGAGTGTCCTTGACGGCGCGACACGGGAACAAACGAACACGAGTCTGGCTTGGAGTCCTGTTCCTTCGCCTCTTCTGGTTTGACATCTTTTCCATTCATTTTAATCCGTACTGAGCCATACATTAAGCAACTAGTTTTTCTAAGTAAAAAGAAGTTTTATGTTTTTTTTTGATACCAGAGTGAAAAGTGACTCAGAAGCTTAAAATGAGGAAAAAGTCGAAATAATCAAGGGATAAATTTTATATATAGTTCGTCATTCGACATTTTTATCCGAGGCTTTTAAAACTATTTCAAGAAGTTAGTAAAAAAGTAAACTCAGAGCTTTTAAAAACACAAAATAGAATTCAATTTTTACCGGAATTTATTATTTATTAGTTTTTTTTGGCGAATTTCTACGTTTGTTATTTTTATGATTTCCAATTTTTAGCCGACCGGTGTCGTCACAATCTTTCTAGTCGATATATTTGGCTGACAAGCAGTTGACAAGGGGGGGGGGGCGTTGCTGAAAATGCCGGAGAACTTCAGAGGAAATTTGATAATTAGATGCACCATTTATTATAATTGACTTCTTTTTCTGAAATCAAGGATGATCATCTTGCAAGATCAAGCAAGACTATATTTTGCTTGCCAGTATTTGAACAAAAAGATGGTCATCTTGCAAGAATGCTCCAAAACAATTTTTTTGAAAAATTGAAATAGATAACGATAAAGCTGAATTTTTTTAAAGTGTGAAACATATTTCAGAATTCAGATTTCACGTCAGATGTCGAAACTACTTCGAGTAATGAGAGCGATACTGAAATGAGCCCAGCCAAAGAGGTGAGTCTCATTGAAAGCCCTTACTTTCTACAGGTTGGATATTCAACAAACCGCCTTATCTTCAAACCGCCATATTGTGAAGTCGAAAAAAAAACATCAAAATAACGTAAATTACATCAAATTAGGAAACAAATTCAAATCAACAATGACAATCTATTGTTATGTTGCGTAAAAACTTAAACTTTAGGCTTGTTGTAATGGCATTATCACCATTATACAGATATCAACACTTGAAATAGCTCGTTTGAAATATTTCCGGTTTTTTATTGAAAAAAAAGCATTTGAATTTTTATAATTATCCTTATTATTGCGTTTCAAAAATTTCAGAACTTTTCCAAGAAAATACAAAACTGGCCATTATTTAAATTTAAAAAACTCAAGACGTCAGTTTTTGTTAAAATCATAATTTTTGACCAATTGGTTATAATCATAGAGTAAATTCAGATAAGGTACACCGTCTGCTCGTCACGCTATCTTATTTTCGGCCGGATAGATTCGTGCAAATTCTTAGTCTAACACCGATCTTAATCTTACTCTTATATCTCCTAGTTCCAATAGATCTAGTGTATATTGGTTTATGCGAGTTAGTTCTTGGTGTTTATCCAGAAGGAGAACAACTGTGTTAAAAGTTTTTTTTTAATTGTTCTGGTGCTGAAACTACTTACAAATAAGTTTCAGCACTTACAAATAAGTGTGAATGTTAGAGATGGAATTTGATTGGTTAGTTATAAATATTTCATAGTTATATTCCATCATAAATATAATTAGTCTATAAATACTAGTTTAGAACTGGTTCCACCCATCCGGGGTTTAGAGAGTTTTTGATTTTTAATTGTTTGATGTAGAGAAGGACGGGTGAAGTAGTTTCTTTTGAAGTTGCGAGCATTGACTTCTTGGAGAAAAGAGAAATGTGGCTGTTTGTGTTTGGAGGAGGAAGAGTGTTTTATTTGTGTTTCAAGATGGGTCTCGTTGATCGTGGTAGTCTTGGGGGATTGTGTCAAGACTTCTGATCGATGCAATGATGTATTGATTTCGCTAAGTTTAGAGCGAGACTACGTGCATGGTGAAGTTTGACTTTTCCGTGTGAAGTGCCATGTGACTAGGATCGGTACGTGTAGTCAAAATCGAGATGGAAATTGGTCTGGTTTAATGGTTGTCCTTTGCTGCGATGTTGAGTCCATACTTCAAATCCTTTGAGGGTAGTGACTTTAGGCAGCAAATCGAAGAGATTTTCCATTACGAATTTGGAAAGTAGTTGGGTTGTCATCTCTTTTGCTGCTCGTTCCTTGGGCTCTAAAAAATTTTAACAAATGCATTTATGGTTCATATATATAATTACTCTTTGTTAATTAAGTTTTAGTTATGTTTTCTTATTAATTGTTATCGCAAAACATTTTACTTTAGTTTGGTGGTTATTTTTTAGTAGTCGCTTAGACTAGAGCAACTCTTGGTAAAAATAGAGTGTGGATCACAAAGCGTGGTTGTAGCGCGGTGGGTTAGGCCGGCGATAGAGCATGCTCAGGACGTCACTCTGGTTGGTGAGGCCAGGAACGGGGGTATTTTCTAATGGTCTCTTTGTGTAGTGTCTTTTTTTGTTGTTTCATTTTTATTACTTGTTTTTCTCTTTTTGTTTTGGTTGTGTCCTATTCTCAGAAATAAAATGTTTTGGTTTGGGTTTGTCTTTAGATTTTTTGTGTTTTATTTGATTGTGGTAAAATTTGAAAGTGGTTTTCAAAAAACAAAATTTATCCGGTTTTAGTTTGGTTTTAATCTGGTTTGTTTACCGCGGGTTTTTCTTCCTTAGTCATGCTTTTAGTGTGTTGTTTTGTGTCGTTAGTAAGAATTCCCTCCTACCGTGTTAGAGAAAAGTTTGAAACATGTGGAAACTAGTTAGAGTTGTTATCAGTGAAAGTTGAAACTTAAAATTCATTATTTAAATATTTCACCCTGGGCGCGCTGTGTGATTGTGGAAAGAGTGTGTGATTTATGGGCGAGTGATTAATTCAAATTTATTTTAAAAAAGCGTCTTGTAAAAAGGTTAGTACTCTTTAGTTTATCTGCAACTTTTTTTAGGAATTTACTACATTGAAATACTAATTTTACTGCTTTGGGAGTTTTAATTTATGAAATTACTGCTTGGTAGAAGGGAAGCTTACTGCTTTGAAGGAATAGTCTTATAAATTTACTGTTTTTGAACGTAAATCCTACTGCTTGTGATTATATACTGCAATTTGTTAAAATCAATTTCAAAATTCTAGAAAAAAACTTTCAATTTTTTTTTAAATTTGTTTTAGATGTTTGAGTGATGAAATCTAAAAAGAAAAGTGAAACACTTATACAAAATGCTCAGTTGTCTTTGGAAACTTTTAGTTAAAAATACTTAAAACATATTTACTAAGGGTCAATGTTGGCAAAAATCCTGCTAAGGGTCATTGTTGGCAAATATGTGAAATTTAAGAAGAAGGATGAAGTATATTTAGAGTTAATGAATTGAAATCGATGTTGTGCGTTTCGCGATGGTGTTTTAGTTGTGTAGTAGTATTGGATAAATTTATAATAAGTGTACGTGTGAGTTTGTTTTGTTGTGAGCGGTGTAAGTCGCGTTCTTTTGGTGCTAGAAAATTGAAAGTTAGTGAGAAATGGTTAGATTTATTAAAATGAGGATTGTAGGCTTTTGTGTCGCGAAGTGCTGTGGATATAAAATCAGCATATTTTTTAGTCATGCAGTTAATGACAAATACATATTGAGATTATATTTAAAAACTTTCAGTTAGTTGGGTGTTAGCGTTAGTATTGTCTTCTAAAATGGTATCTTCCATATAACGTGAAATAGCGTGATCATAGTGGATGATGGAAAATCGGTTTGACTTTTTTTTTTTACAAAAAACCTATTTGTGGATTGTTTTCATGATAGGATTGTTTCAAAAAACCTATTCAGGATTGTTTTGGTGATAGTTGTGAATTGTTTTCATGAAGTGCTGTGGTTAGGTGATGTAGTCGAGTGTGACAAAATTCATTGTCTTCTTGGTTATTATATAATGGGAGTGATAATGGTTTGGTGAAATGGTAATATGAGGTCCATGAAAGTGTGAGAAACAAGGCGTGTTTGCCAACGTCATTTCGTTGATCGTTTTTAGTAGTTTGATAGTAAGTGTATTGTGGAAAAAACGGTAAGCACATTTGTAGGAATTCTTTTGTGTTAGTGTGAAATGGGTGAACGGAAAACAATCGAGGAGGTCGAGGGTTGGGAGGCATTGGGGTTTTGGGATGTTTTTGCTTAAATACTTGGTGGGCTCGGGTTTCTTCAGTTGTGGATGCTGGGTTGGAGGATTCGGAGGATGTAATGGTTTGCGATAGGTAATGAAGCTGGGATGAGAAAAATCAGTTATTTTAAGAACTAACAATGGTTTTTGTACTAACTAATTTTTGTATTTTGTTTTTAATAAACTATTTTTTTAGAAAATTTGATTTACTGCAGTTTTTTGGGAGGAACGATTGTGTTCTTTTTATCAGTCGTTATTGTAAAGATAGTAGGTTTAGCACCAGTAAGGTTGTTGAAGGATTTTTTCTTCAAATTTTTTTCATGGCAGTAAAAGAAAATTTAAATTTACTGCATAAAGCACTCTAATTACAAAAATTGTTTCCGTTTTCTGTCGTACTAAAGCATTTGAAATCTTATAATTATCCTCTTTGCGTTTCGAAAATTTCATATCTTTTCTAAGAAAATACAAAAATGGCCATTCTTTAAATTAAAAAAATTCAAGATATTGGTTTTTGTTGAACTCATGAGTTATGAGCTTTTGGTTATACTCATAGAGTAATTTCAGATAAGGTACACCGTCTGCTCGTCATGCTTTCTTATTTTCTGCCGGATAGATTCGTGCAAACTCTTAGTCTAATAGATCTTAATCTTACTCTTTTCACTCCTAGTCTCAATAGATCTAGTGTATACTGGTTTATGCGAGTTAGTTCTTGTAGTTTATCTAGAAGGAGAACAACTATTCAAAATTTTATTTTAATTGCTCTGGTGCTGAAATTACAAGTAATTTCAGCACTTACAAATAAGTGTTAATGTTAGAGATGGAATATGATCGTTAGTTATAGAAATAGTTGGTCTATAAATTTTAGTTTAGAACTGGTTCCACTCATTTCATCTTGACAGCTGGCGCGAATCTAGGAATTTCTCGAGGGGAGGTGGGGGTGCGGTTTTTTGAAAAAAAAACAGTCCAAAAAAGGCGTTTTTAGGCACTTTTTGGAACACTTCGACCAACAATTGGGTTTTTTCGGCGCGCTCCCCCTAAAATTATTATAGATTGGAGCCGAAGGCGCCCTTAGAAAAATTTTAAGGTCAGTCAGCCAAAAATGGATATCTGAAAATAGTACAAAGGGGGACCCTTTGGCTCGGCAGGGGGTCTAATCACTGAGGAATGAGCGTCCGCCCCCCTCTCCCCTCTTCCCTAAATCCGCTACTGCTTGACAGACTATTTGGGAAACGCAAAACAATTATACATTTTTTTGAAATTTTTATATTTTTTACATTTATACATTTTTATACATTTTTTAACCCTTTTTATATTCGAAGTTAATTCTTTTGTTTAGCTTTCTTCTTCTGATCTGCAGTCTTCGAATAATCTATTCTTGAATATTCTTTACAAAATACTTCGCAAACCCCCGTCTAAAAAAGAACAAGAGACTCATGAAGAGATAAAACGTAAGCTGCACCCCAAAAAGCGAATAGCTGCCGAATGCCTGGAAGAATATTCTCAATCAAGAGGTGAGAAATAAGCGAATGCTTTGCTTTAATAAATGTCCTGCAAAAATTGAAACAATTTTGTGAAAAGATACAACTAATAGAAGATACTTTACCGTTAATCAAAACACCCAGGGGCGGATTTTTTCGCTCGAGGGGGGGAGGGGGGTCGGATTTTCAAAGAAAAAGTTTGAATATTTTGTCCATTTTTTAAAAAATATACCAAATTGATTTTCCGAGCGCTCTAAGAAGATAAGGCTATGTAGACCCAAATTTTTAAAAAATCAGGCCAAAAATGGCGTTTTTACGCACTTTTTGGAAAATTTTGACCAAACAACTGCGTTTTCGGCGTGCGCTTCCCCTCAAAATTAGCATGTATTGGCTCCGAAGACGCTTTTGGAAAAATTTCAGGGTCACTCAGCCAAAAATGAATATCTCAAAAGAGTACAAAAGGGCAAAATCCCTTCACCCCCTCCCTAAATCAGCTGGTGAAAACACACACAATATGTGAGATCTAAAACATATTGACGTATTGAGAACGGGTTTAGGACAAGAAGCCGACGGGACTTTAAGCCGAAGGGACTTCAAGCCGAAATTAAAACTTTACAAGCACCTCCAAACACTATTTTATCATCTGTAAAACGTTGTTTTTCAAAAATTTTGGCAAGTTCAGTCCATAATAAACGTTATTCATGACAATGCACCACTTGTGATTGGCA